CACTGTAATGTTACTGTCACCAAAACTGCATACAATCCCGGGCTAATAGATGTGTTAAAAATAAGGACAGTCACCCACTAATCCATAAATAGTAAGTCCTAGGATTGACAACTAAAGAGTAACCCAGAATAATGAACATGAATCACAAGAATATCAAGCGAGGACTGCCTATTCTAGACAAGATGACATGAAACGTGAAAACTTGCTCAAATACCTAAAGGGTTGCCATTTAAAATTGGTTAAGAGGAAGGGGTATCTAGAGTACAGGAGGATTAGCAGATGAGATTATGGGGACAGTTTTTGCTTCAGAATGAAATCTTTCCGATTCCTTTCTAAGAGAAAGAAATGAGCTTCCTGAAGAAGCAGTGAGATACACAGTGAAGGAATTAAACCTGCATGAGGTAGGGTGGGGTGTCATCTAGGGAGGGCTGCATAGCCTTTTATTCCCTTATGGCCCAAGACTCTGTGGTCACCTGACATAAGCCTTAATGCTCATTCGACCATTCTGTAGACTTGTGTCCACGGTGAGATGAATAGGGTTAGGGGCCTCCCGGCTGTAGTACTCATGGATCAGCACAGAGTGCTCTGTGATGTCATGGCCTGTGGCATACCTGGAAAATAAAACATAGTTGTAGATTCATGGCATCAACATCAAACACGATGGTGGGCTGGGTATTCAATAACCCTATGGTAGTTATACTTAATGGAACAAGACTTACAAATCAAAGCTGAAATTCAAAATAAATATTTTTGATCTCAAAGGACCAGAGATTGAACCCAGGGGTGTTTAACCACTAAGCCACACCTCCAGTGCTTTTTATTTTGAGACAGGGTCTTGCTAAATTGCTTAGGGCCTCACTAAGTTGTTGAAGCTGGTCTCAAACTTGTGATCCTTCTGCCTCAGCCTCCTGAGTCAATTCATAGCTTCTTGAGATCAGACAATTTTAATACTCTTGTCTCTAAAAGGGGAAGACAAGCTTTATTCTGATGGCAGAAGAGCCTGGCAATCACTGAGAGACTTTCCATCCAGCCCTGCCCTTCCCCAACTTACCAGCCTAGGATGAGTTCATTTGGAGAGACTTTTTTGTGCAATTCATACATGTTCTTAGCAAATTCCATGTCAACAGCCACCTAAGAGGGAAGGCAGGAAAGGAAGCTAAGAAGATAGAAGTTCATAGAAAAATTGAATAAAAAGGACAGACCCTCATGCCCCAATAGACAGAAGAGACCAGGGAAGTACATACAACGGTATGAAACTCTTAGGCTGTAGGAGCTCAAGTTATAAGCACAATAAATTGTGCAGGAGGGTCCCTGAGGGGAGCCTGACAAATGCACAGCAACATACTGCAGAGGGGCAGTTCAAATTCCTACTCACTTCATCTTCTGATTCATTGTGTGGCACTGAAAAGCAGTTGGTGACCTCCACTGAGTGCTTGTCAACAGTTCCTGTGAAAAAGAGAATTGTCCATGCGTTATTTAATTCTAGGGCTCCCAATAGAGTCTGACTACTGTTGAAATGCTTTAGAAGGTCCTTCAAAGCCAGCGAACAGTAATCCAACTCAGTGGCTTCAAGTTCAGCATCAACAGAACCAGGATTCTCCAGATAACTAAAACTCTGGAATGATCAACTCCTTCCTCTATCACCAAACAGGATTAATTCTTCCTTCACAAGATTTCCTTTTTTTCTTTTACTTTCTATTACCAGCCTTTCCTAGACCTTTATTCTTTGATCTTCATTTTTCAGCCTGTAGACTCTTGCCCGATAATTTAATCTGCACAGCTACCTAGAAGATTTTACTGCCAATAAAACAGCCTCATTTCACACTGTCAGCACAATTTAACTCTATCAGAAACCCTCTATCCGTGAACCTTAAATATCAATGTCAGTCTTTACCACAAACTTTGTTTTTCTAGTTGATATCACATATCCCACTACACTAATTCCTTGACCTCACTGAGCAACTAGTTCTTTGACTTTTCTACTTTCTTCTAATCTACTGGCACCTCCTGCCCTAGGCCTCAAGTGCTTTGCTTCCCTATCCACCACAGACTTCAATGTTGCTAGTGGGTACTAGAGTTTGTCTAATGCAATTTACTGATTTTTGTTCTCTTCTTCAAACTATGTGTTTAAACTCAATAGATATCTGATGTCTCAACAGCATTCAAAAAACTTGACGACTTCATCTTAAAACTTTCTTTTTGCTGGGTATGGTGGTACATATCTGTAATCCCAACCACCTGAGCCAGGAGGATTGCAAGTTTGAGGTCGGCCTCAGCAAGTAAAGGACCTAAGCAACTTAGTGAGACACTGCCCCCCCCACCCGCCCAAATAAATAAATAAATAAAAAGGGCTGGGAATGTTGCTCAGTGGTAAAGCCCCTCATCATCATCAACAACAAACACTTTCTTTTCTTTGGGATATGACACTAGTCTCTAGTTTTCTTCCTTCTCTTTCTAAATTTCTGTTGGCTCTTCCAGGGACTTCTCCAGTTGACAGGGTTCTATCTTAGTTCTGCTATCTTTTACTCTATGCTTCTTTTCTAGGTCAGGCCTTGACCTAAAAATGTTTTTGTTAATAAAAGTTTAAATGCTTAACACCAAGAGCTCTGTACCATGATTCAGTTTGCAAAAGTATCTAAAGGTCTAAATTCAGCTGATCTGACTAGTGTGTCATTGTAGTAACTGGGGCACTTTAGCATAAACTATGGGTATAAGATTGTCTCTTAAAATAGCTCCAGTGAGGGGCTGGGGATATGGCTCAAGCGGTAGCGTGCTCGCCTGGCATGCGTGTGGCCCGGTTCGATCCTCAGCACCACATACCAACAAAGATATTGTGTCCACCGAGAACTAAGAAATAAATATTAAAAATTCTCTCTCTCTCCTCTCTCACTCTCTCTTAAAAAAAAAAGATTCTCTATCTTAAAAAAAAATAGCTCCAGTGAATTTGGAAAATTTGATAAGTATCTGTCAAATGCTATATTAGTAATGTAAAAATCATTTGCTGCAGAAGTCTACAATGGGGCACTTACAGAGTGTCTTCATATTGTGGGAGGATAAGGATAGAGTAAGGGTGAGTATATTGGATGGAAGATTAATGCTAATATTTCTGCTAGGGACCTTGAGGATGGATGGAATTTAAACAAATAAGGGAGAGCAAGGAAGGCATGTGTGGCAGAGTATAAAGGTTTGGTTTGAGAAAAAATAATGTTTAGAAGATAATGAATCAATTAAAGTTTCTATAAAATGCTACATGGTCAGAGACAGAGAATGTATGTATGTACCAGGGACTAATTCAGTCCCTAGCACTTGGGACAGCATGGGCCTGATGTGGTAGATGTCAACCTATACCTGTAACTGATGTGTTTCAGCACAGCTAGATGCTTTCTGTAATGATGGGAGTTCTCACTAAAATTCTGTTGAAGCAGCCACTGAAGGAATTAGACTTTAAGCAGTCTGCCTTAAGGCACATGGCTACTATTTGGTGAAATCTATCTATATATCTTCATCTTATTTGCAATATACCAACTGTCTTCTATAGTGTAAGGCCTATTACAAAGTCAAGAATAAGAAAAAGAAATGATGCATTCAAGTAGAGCAGACTTACAAAGGGGTTTGAAAACAGTCACTGAGAATAGAAATGAGTTTAATGGAACTAGCAGCTTCTGGAGAAAGGCATTTGTTATCAGCAATCCCTCTTTAGTCTTTCCAGTTTTACAAACCACTTTAACAGAAAATATTTGTTTCCCAAATCTGTAACACAGGCAGGTAAGATATAGTCTTCAATCTGAAGGATAAACACAGATTTATAAACAGATAATAAAACTGTATCTAATTGTAAAATCAGAGAGGGCACCGGGCTGTACTTATTGTATTAAGAACTAATATTAGGGGAGATGGAGGGACAGAGGATCAGGCTAAGTTCAGGAAAACAAAATACTACAAAATCCTAAATAAGTTCCAGGCAAATCAGCTTACTTGTTGAGAGTAACCTTTTTACAGTTGTTCCCAATCCTTTGCCAAATGGTTAAAAAAAAACTTTGTGAACATCTGGAAAACAAAGTCATTCAGTCATTGGATAAAAGGGGGGTGGGATATGGTCACTGGGTTTAAGGTTTACTTTCTACTGGGAGTTTTGAGTTCATTTTTGGCAGAATGAGGCTTATCATTCTTGACATAAAACGCTGCTGGAAATATTAAAAAATAAAACGGGGGCTGGGATGTGGCTTGGCGGTGGAGCGCTCGCCTAGCACGGGCAGGACCCGAGTTCGATCCTCAGCACCACATAAAAAAACGGAAGTCACTCGGCAGATGCTATTCATTAAATGACAACTACTCCTTGTTATATTTTGCGTTGCTTGAAGTACATCGATCCGGCACGAGAGGGGAGTGTTCAAGCCCTCTGGGAAGATAAGTCGCAGCCGGAAAGTGCGATAGAGAAATAGGTAACAAAAAGATCAGCGTGGATTGGAAGAAGGATTGGGGGATGAAACAGTTAACATGAGATGTGCGGAATAACATCTGACCACTCACCCAGGAGAGTTCCGATAACACGCGCAGCGCCGTCGTTGCGTCGCTCGTAGCTGTCCACGATGGAGGCCAGAATGACCGGGTGCAGCCTGACCACGCGGCCTCCGGGGAAGGGCCCTGGGAGAGCAGGACCCGGCAGGGAGGGCGCGGGGGTTTGCGCTGGGGCTTGCGCGGAGGACGCGGTCTGGCCTGGTGCTGCGGGAGCAGCCGCGGCGTCGGAAGGTGAAGCTGGAGTCGCAGTCGGGGCTGCAGCCGCAGCTGGCGCTGGAGCAGGCGTTGGCGAGGGAGTTGGGGCTGAGGCTGGGGCTGGAGCGACGGTCGGAGCTGGGGTTGGGGCCGGAGTGGCGGGAGGAGTACTTGCCGGTACCGCCGGTGTGGCCATCTTGTTGAGAAAGGAAACCTGGAGCGGAAGGGAGTGAGTTTGCGAGTATTAGAAACTCCATAGGCTGAGTATGTACCACGTGAACGAGGAGTCGGTGCCCATTGGTTACCAATGACACTTCTTGGGGCGCGACAATTTCCGGCTGTTCGTAATGTCTTCCGGAGTTTGTGCTTCTTGTTTTAGGTCCGATGCACAGTGAAAGCCAAGTCAAATTGTTCCTAATAAACTTGGGACCATGTTAGGAAACAACGAAACATATTCTGCATAGCTGCCGCCAGATGAAGCCAGAGAGTAGCGCAAAGGTATCAATTCCTGGTTTAGTTTTGGTTTTTTTTTTAAAGAGAGAGTGAGAGAGGAAAGAGAAAGAGAAATTTTAATATTTATTTAATTTTTTTAGTTCTCGGCGGACACAACATTTTTGTTGGTATGTGGTGCTGGGGATCGAACCCGGGCCGCACGAATGCCAGACGAGCGCGCTACCGCCTGAGCCACATCCCCAGCCCCTGGTTTAGTTTTTAATGGGATCAAAGTGTCTCTAAAAAATTGATTCTTTTTAGTTACATATAATATTAGTGTACATTTTGACATAGTCATAAAAGCATGGAATATAATTTGGTCTAATTCAGTCCCTAGCACTTCCCCCTATCCTTCCTCCCTCCTCTTGCTCTTCTTCCTTTACTGATCTTTCTGCAATTTATTTATAGTTTTAAAAAATTAGTGTCTTGTGAATATACTTGATGTTGGGTGATATATTCATGTATGTACATATGAAAGTTCAGTCAGATTCATTGCACTGTTCTTCCCTTTTCTCTTCACTGCTTCCTCTCCCTCAATCCTCTTCATCTACTCTTTTGATCTTCCCTCTATATTTATGGAATTCACTCCCCATCCTCTGCTTATTTTGTATTAGCTTCTGCATATCAGAGAAAATATTCGACTTTTGACATTTTTGGACTGGCTTATTTCACTTAGTGTGATAGTCTCCAGTTCTATCCATTTATTGGCAAATACCATAATTTCTTTCTGCTTTATAGTTGACTAATACTCTTCTGTGTCCATTCATCTTGATGGGCATCTATGTTGGTTCCATGGCTTGGCTATTGTGAATTGTGGTGCTATACACATCAGTGTATGAATGCATCACTGTAGTATGCTGATTTTAAATTCTTTGGCTATATACTGAGGGTCAAATGATGGTTCCCATTCCTAATTTTTTTGAGGAATCTCCATACTACTTTCCAGAGTGGTTGAATTAATTTGCACTCCCACCAACAATGTATGCGTGTACCTTTTCCTCTACATACTTGCCAACATTTGTTGTTGCTTGTATCCTTGGTAATTGCCGTTCTGATTGGAGTGAGATGGAATCTCAATGTAGTTTTGCTTTGCATTTCCTTAATGGTTCAACATTTTTTCATATATTTGTTGATCATCGGTATTTCTTCTTTTGAGAAGTGTCTGTTTAGTTCTGTTGCCCATTTATTAATTGGATTCTTTTTTTTTAGTGCTAAGTTTTTTTTTTCTTTCAGTTCTTTGAATATTTTGGATACTAATGCCCTGAGGAACAGGTGGCAAGGATCTTCTTCCATTCTGTAGGCTCTCTCTTCAGGCTCTTAATTGTTTCCTTTGTTGTACAGGACATTTTAAATTTGATGCCATCCCACTTATTGATTTCTGATTTTATTTCTTGTGCTTTAGGAGTCTTGTTAAGGAAGTCGGTTTCTGTGCTGACATGCTGGAGTGCTAAATGGGCTTTGTTCTTGACAGTGTCATAAGGTGTATATAGGGTGGTTTAGTCTACAATTTGAGTGCTTAATATGTGTCCCATGCTCTTTTAGGTGCTTAGAATATATAAGTGAACAAAACAGGCAAAAGTTTATATTCTAGTGGTGATAAAAAAACCAATGAGTAAATTATATATTATATTAAAAAGTGCTATCATATACGACAATTACTAAGGGGTTTCAGCAAAGGGTAAGGGGAATCAGGAGTTCTGAGGGGTCAGGATGGGTTCCAATGAGAATGTGAAATTGAGTGGAGACTTGGGGGTTCAAGTAGGTAGTCATCACTTGGGGCTTTTTTGGGGAGGAGCCCTTCAAGTAGAGGAAACACCTAGTGTAGAGGCCTTAAGGTAGGAGGCCTTGTGTGTTTGAGGAGGTTATTTTGTGTCTAGAGTATTAAGAGGAAAAGAGAGAGTAGCAGGATGAACCCCTTATCAGGAGGGTGGCAGCACATCATTAAGAACCTTCTGAGTTACAGGAATTAGCCTTTGTGATTGTAGAAGCTGAGAACTCCCAAGAGCTACAGTCAGCAAGAAGAGAGACTGAGGAGAGCTGAAGGTACTAGTTCCAGTCAGAAAGCCATCAGGCTTAAGATCTAAGAAGAGCCAACGTTTCAGCCTGAGTCAGGAAGCCTACGACCCATCTCAAATCAGTGCATCAGGGGAGTCCCTCTTGAGGGCAGGAAAGTGGGCCCATTTGTTCTGTTGAGGCACTCAACAGATTGGGTAAGGCTCATCCATATTAGGGAGGGCAATCTTCTTTACTCAGTCTACCAATTCAAATATCATGGTCATCCCAAAACACAACCTCACAGGCACTCCCAGAATAATGTTTGACCAAATGCCTGGCCACCTCATGGCTTTGTTGATACCTAAAATTAACCATTGCACATGAGTTTCTGGTTGTCCCGGGAAACATGCCTGATAGTTTTGCCTGAAAAGATCAGGGTCATCTCTGCTGATGGTGTCATAATTCAGAGCAACCTACAGGACCCATCCCATATCAATAACTGAAAGAGACAGCTATACACACCAGCTAGCTTCCCCCACCCCCGCTCCGTTTCTCTCTAACTTTGCCTGACTTGATTTCTGTGTTTTGGTCTCTGATTCTTTTGTTTCTACCCCTTCTATTTTGGGGCTCAGTTACTCTAGTTTCCAGGTTTATTTCCAGCCAGGACAGGGTTAGCAGAAAGGGAGGGCTGATTTTTATCTCTTACCTCCGCTATCCAATTAAAATCGGTTCTTGCGCAGCTCATTTCTAGTTTCTTAGGTGTGACTCAGAATCTCTGCTCCTGTGATCTCAAAACCTGGAGCCTTTGCAGTAAGTGGCTTCTCTGCTCTCTATCCCCTTATTTATGTGACTGTGTTTTATTCTTTATTTTCTATCTTGGTTTTTTGGTCTTGGTGCTTGGTTGTCTTGTTTTCTCTCTAGCCTGAGGTTGGTTAAGGCTGTGGGAAAGACCAATTCCCATTCCTGCCTGTCTTCCTGGATTCTAGGAGTACTCGCTGAGCATTGGGGATGAGAGGTCTTGGAGGAGAAGGAAATGTACGGAAATTATGGAGACAGTTGGCAGTAGTCACCTTATGGCCTCTCCTCTCTTCAGCTAATTGGTGTCTTCTCACTCTTAGGCAATGCTCTTACTTCATGCAGAATATAAGGTTCACCAGAAATGCCCAGGCTCATCTTCTGACCACAGGTCACACATCTGCCTTTCTCTCACTTTCATCACATATGGATGGAGAATGTTCCCTTCACCTTACATCAAAGGCCAATCTTCTGTCTTTGCTTCGAAACCTATCCCAGTCCTCACTCTGGTTTGTGTCTCCTTCACCTGAATTTCTAGCCTGACCTCTCTGTTGGATATTAATATTCCTCCCCTCCCTCCTATGTGAAAACAAAGCAGAGCTCTTCTCAACGCTTCATTTCCCATATTACCTTCTGATTCCTTCTGTTGCCAAGCTTCCTGAAGGATTTGTCTATACAGGTTAACTCTACTTCTTTAGTGGATAGGTTACTTCCTATTCTTTCTTGGCTGCGTTAAGTTTTATTTTATCAAAATAATAAATGCTTGTGGTTTGCAAGGTCAACTAGCATTTGAAATCTCATGCCCCCCAATAGTAGTCCCCCTTCCTACTATCCTCATCCCTCTTCCCCCAGGCAACTATTTTAGATTTCTAACTACTTCTTCTAACATCTCTGCATTTCTAAGTAGGATGTGTTTACTGCTACCTTAAGATCTCAATTATAGGGATTACCTATTGACTTTAGTACTTTCCACCACCATCTTTCCTTTCATTATGGTCATAAATTTTAGTTAGATCAGTATTTGGTGGTTCTATTATTACTTCTAGGTAAACATTATCACATATGAGTGTTACAGTTTGCTATCAAGTTTTCTGATTTTTTTTTTGTTTCCTTATTTTACTTCTGTTTATAGAGTTTTCTGGGGGACTTGCTGCTAGTTTTTCTTCCTCCTGCTAATCTCTCTGTAGGCTCTTTCAGAAGGCTCCTAGCATCAGCTAAACTGCTAAGTCTTTATTCTTTATCTTTTGGAGACATTCTTCCTGAGAAACCTGTTTCTCTTTCTGCCAGGGCTATTGGGGATTCTCAATTCTCTGGCCAGAGAATTCGATTCCTGTTTTATGGAGTTCCCACCTTCTTCCCTTTTCATTTTGATGAAGCAGATCCTGAAGTAGTTTCACCAGCTTAAAGTGTTATGCTCGAATTCGGAATCCCCAAAGACCACCAGAGACCCAAGATCGATGCAAGCAGCAAAGAGGTGTTTATTGCGAGCTAGCTCGGTCCTCCGCGCACACACACAGCAACTGGTGACGCTGAGAGGCCCCGAGCCCAGGAGCCCAGGGTTTGCAGCATTTTTATACATTCTTTGGAGAGGGCAGGGACTTCACATACATCATAGCAAATCATCACACACTGCAGGAAAATCAAATAACAACTCTAAAACATGATTAGCACATTCACTGGCGGGAACAAGTTGGGTAGGGGTGATTGGTCAGTACAAAAAGGGTATTCGTTTGAACTGATTGGTTTAAGCCAAGAGGGGTGTACGTGCTGAACTACATGGTTTCCCAATATGTTATCAACCACCATAAACTACTGGGAGGGTCATCTGGCATCCCAGGTATTTCCCTGACTCATGCTGATTGGTGGCTGCTAGGGGGCTGCTATGGGTCCCCACCTAGCCTGACTGAGTCAGGGACACCTGGCGCAGCAGATCTCTTTGTTATTTGTAGATAAATAACTTAGCCGGGTGGGAATGTGCCTAGGAGTGCTCTGTGGGTTTTTCCAAGGACAAAGGCCATGTCCCTTCCTTGGACAGGCTTTGCTCTGAGATAGAGGCTGGTTTTTCAAAAGAAATGGCGCAACGGTTGACTGTGTGTTGGTGACAATGATCCAGTTCTTTTGTCATCTAGTCAAACTGCTCCAGCCTGGACTGGGGCCAAGTTGTAGAGAGGACTAAAGGTTTCAGGGAGGGACATGGAGAATCTGGTGGGTTTTCTTTCTCTTGGAGACAGAATGGTTCACGCATTCAGCTCCTCCCTTGTTTCTTAACTTCAGTGTTGGGAGGAATGAGGTCAAGTTTCTCCCTGATGAGCAGTTGCTCATGCCACTGACAGATGTTTCTGCCTCACAAAGCCTTAGCAAGGTCCTTCATCTCTTCTAGCTCCACATGCACTAGGCCTGTTAGGAATCAAAGGGTGGGCACTGGGGTGGTCACACTTATATTTTAAATATGAATACCACCGGTGGATTAGTAGGTTTTGGCAAAGAAGACCCAGGCTTGGCCTGTAGGCCTGTCTGTTTACTATCAAGGGTCTGTTCCAATTCTCCTCAGCACCTTGTTTGTTGGGCTTCTGTCCAGGGAGCTGAGTCATCCCTATCTCACCTCCAGTTCCCCAAGTCTGAGCTGAGGTAAACAGGCTGGTCTGGAATCTTCTTGTCACGTTCTGGTGTTGCCTTCTCTTCTTTCCTGTATTAGCTTTGCTGATATTAGAGCTTTGTAGAGGAACCCTGAGTCTTCTCAAGTAGGCTGAGGCTTTGTGGTAAGTAGTTTCTGCTCTCCCAGACTGGCCTATGACCTGTAGCCCGTGTCCCTTGTATCTTAACATATTCCTAACATTTTCTGTCTCCTATTGATAATGTAGTCAGAATGCTGATATTTGAATCTCAGTGGCCCTCACTGTTCCCAGATACTCTTGTGAGCATTCTCTGACATACACCTGAGGTGGATTTCCCCGTTGGCCTTAGATAACAGGTATAATTCTGGATTCTAAAAGCTTTTTTGTTAATTGTTGCTTTCTCTTCTTTCAAAGACCTCTGCCCTGCCTACATTTTAGTTCCATATTTTAAACATTCTTAAAAATCCTACTCTTCTTTCTCTGATACTTGAGAATCTATAAGTCTTTCTAGTTTCTAGTAGTATTTAGCCTAAATTCTGTTTCTGGGTCTGCCTTCCATGTCTTTTGAGTTCCTCTGTCTCCTTCTACTCAGTCCTAGACCACAGTGTAAATCCTGTCTCTTTGCTCAGTGGTTTACCTCTGGAAAACTCTGAAAGATCATTTCTCTCTGACTGCCAAATTTCTCCTCCGGAGTAATACCTGGGACAATTTCTGTGATAATCAAAAAGGATAATACATGTAAATTATTTGGCACAAATTAGGCACACAAGAGTGCCCATTCCTCTTCTTCTTATTTAAACTTGTCCCCTCATCTGAATTGGAAGACCTCCAGCTTTGGAACCTGTGAGTGACCAAGTCCAGGAGGCTGATGTGTGAGGGCTGGTGGAATGATGGGTGGATACTCCTTACCTTCTTACTGCCCCTCAGCTGTCCCAGCAAATGTGCACCATTTGAACATTCACTCGGTCAGGAATAGGTTGACTTTTAAAACTTAAAAAATCTAAAAATAATTTTTTTTTCTGAACCCATCTGTTCAAGGAACCACACAAGGCCTAATATAGAGTGCATGTGAGAGAGAGGCAGGAGAGAGGCAGAGGTGGCGACTGGAAGAAAGGAGGGGAGAGGGAGAGACACAGGAGGAACATCTCCGCATACCTACCTGGGTTCCAGCAGACAGGATCACACATATTGTCTGACCCAGAGGCAGGGGAGAATGACTAGATGGATTCCTCCTGCTAGCTCACTCACTCCCCTTTCTTGGAAATTTGCATGTATCACCTCTCTTCCTGTCTCTGCTGCACAGCTTGCCAAGCGCACAGGAAGCCAGGCCGTGAGGGGCCTTCAAGTGCTCTCCTCCAGTGGTGGACCTCTCCTCTCCACACCTTCTCCAGGTCGCTGGTCTGAACTTGACCTCCACCTCCCATCACCATGGCCTCAGCCCTGGCCCGCAGTCCTCGGGAGGCATTACTTTGGGCCTTGAGTGACCTCGAGGAGGACAATTTCAAGATATTAAAGTTTCACTTGCGGGATGTGACCCTGGCTGAGGGCCAGCCCCTCTTGGCCCGAGGGGAGTTGGAGGGCCTGAGTCGGGTGGACCTGGCATCGCGACTGATTTTAAAGTGTGGAGAACAGGAGGCTGTGAGAGTGGTGCTCAAGGGCTTGAAGGCCATGAACTTGTTGGAACTTGTAGACCAGCTCAGCCACATTTGTCTGAATGGTGAGTGTGGTAGGGGAAAGGGAGGTCATGTGGTGCCAGAACTGTCCCCCGGGGTACTTCCACAGACTCCCATGGTCTATAATTCATGCCTCCTTTCACTCTGCCCTCCGTCCTTGAGAGTCCCCTGTGCCCAAGGGTCCCAGGTGGTCTCCATCTGAGGGCTCCCACAAATGCTGGTCGAAGCTCCTGAGTGGACAACAGGGGTTTATTTATAGAAAGACCCTCATATCTTATGACCATGATACCCTACCTCTTACCTCCCGTCGCTGTGCCAGAAAAGGAGGGAGAGAAGAAAGGGGCTTAGATGGGGGAGGCAGTGTTGGTGAAGGTTTTTCTACTAAGCAGAACAAATGGTGTAGGTGTGGCGTCAGACCTGTCTCTTGCTGCTTCTTGGCAGAGGGCTAGGCTGCTCCTCACAGAGGATAGTCTTCTGTGCCCCTGTGTTCAAGGAGCTGGTGGACTGATGATGAGTACAGCTGATAATGTTATATACACATGAAAATGACTCAGAGAATAGACTTTAAGGGTTCTCACCACAAATAAGAATATGAAGTAATGTATATGTTAAATAGCTTGACTCAGACATTTTTCAATGTATACATGTTTCAAAATATGTTGTATGCCATAAATATGTACAATATTATTATTATTATTGTTATCATCATCATCATCATCAACAGGGATTAAACCAAGGGTTGCTTAAACATTGAGTCACATCCCTAGCCCATTTTCTTTTTTATGTTGAGACAGAATTATGTCATGAAGCCCACCATAGAAGTGAGGGAAACTGGGAAGATATTAAGTTGGATAGATTGCTACCTCCTTTCTAAAACTGGAGTTCTGTCACAATAAAAAGTAAGAAGTGGAGCTAGGATCAGCAATGAGCACTGCCTACTTTTATTAGCACTGGGCCTGAAAGGGGGATAACCATCACCAAACGTCTCCCCATAAACCATATTACATGGTCTCTGTATTAGCTGCTTTCTGTTGCTCTAACAAAATACCCAAGAATGGGTACTTTATAAAGAGATGAGGTTAATTTAACTCAAGAGTCCAACATTTGGCAGCCCCTGAGACTGACCTTTGGTGAGAGTGATCACAACATGGTGAATGGCATCATGGTGGGAGGACCTGCAAGGGGTAGAGACTGAATGGCCAGAAACTGGGGAGGATAAGTCTTGTTCTTTTTATAACACCCCCCCTCTCACAGGAACTAACGGGGGCCCATGAGAAGTCCATTACTCCCTTCCAAGGGCCTCATCCTCAGTGGCCGAATTACCTCCCACTAGGCCCCAATTCTTGCAAGTTCTACCCCCTCAACACTGCTGCACCTAGGACCTAGCCTCCAGCCTATGAACCTTTGGGGGACAAACTACATCCCATCCTCACAAGCTCCAACAAAGCCACCAGTGTAAGAGCAGGATGTCCCAGTCTACAAGTGTGTATGTGAGGGCAGAGGAGGGTTGATATCAGAGGGCACTGGAAGCAGCCAGAGCCCCCATTCCGGAACCCCTGTGATGTCACACTTGTAGTCATGGTACTCTGGGTGCCAACCCAGGAGAAGGAGCGGTTGGCTCTCATTTGTTTGAGAGCAGGCAGCGAAGCATGACTGTATCAGACGACTTATTGTCCCCACCCCAACCCCCAGCCAGATCCTGGCTTTTTGCAAGCCTTTGGGCTTGTGTGATGGTAGCAGCCCTGGTGTCCCTGAGCACCATATACTTCACTTTCACGTAAGTCTCTGAGCCAGCTGTTGGGTTTCTCACCAAGAGACAGATGAGAAATAGACAGTGAGAGTGCAGAGGCAGGGAGGAGGAAGGAAGCCAGGAGGGGAAGGAGGATATTTAGTGAGAAGCACAGCGATGTGGGGAGCCCGAGGCTTTGGGAGGACTGTGGGAGGCTGGTAATGCTGGTGACATTTGGTGGAGGGAATGGGGTCTGTCTCCTTAAGCCTCATGGGGGCTCCGGGTTGCCCCCGACTAGAACTCAGTCTGGTCCTGGTTTCAGATGCCGAGCACTGGTGCAAAATGGAGAGTGGGTCTTTCCAGTGGCCTCAGGCCTTCTCTGCCTACTCAGTTTATATAGCCTCATTTCCATGAACATCTCAGACCCAGGAATTTTACACAGAGGTAAGACCTCAGACCCCTGGGAGAGGGAGGTGGCACCCCAAGGGCTGGTGCCTACAGGGGCCATTTCTAAAGGGCTGACCCTACCTGTGGCCTCAGGATCCCTTCTTACCCTGTTATCATTACTTGGGCCCTGGCACTTCCTTTCCCAAGCCACTAAAGTGTGAAAACACAGAATCCTGGAGGTTTTCCAGTTGCTTTAGAAGGGAGGACCCGGCAAGAGAGGCAGCAGGCTCTTCCAACCAGGCAGTTCACCCTTCCTCCTTCCCATTTCACACCCGACTCCAAGCACTGATCACTATTCCAAAGGGGGGAGCTCCACGTAGAGCTCTTGTGGCTGGAAAGCCCTTGTCTCTGTCCGCCCATCTGAGTGGTCAGCTTGCTCAACAAGGACCGGGATTCCCCTGCCCTTCTCCTCCCCACCTTCTTGTTACCCAATGATGCTATGGGGCTGCCCCGAGCATCAGAGTGATACAAGGGCCTCCTCCACTGCCCAAACCTCTTCCCCTGCCAGGCGCCTTCGAGCAGGACCCTGAGGCCCTGTACAGGGCACGAGTGAATGGCAGGTTATACGACATGCCGTGGTGTCCCACCTGTAATTTTCACCGCCTGCCTCGAACCTTCCACTGCGAGAGTTGTGACATCTGTGTGGAAGTGAGTGTTCCTCCTCCCTGTCCATTCATCAACCCATCCCCAGGCACCTGGCCAGGACCAGGAACCGCACGACATGACTGGGCCGGGGGGTGGGTATGAGACCATCTTCTCAAACTGCTTCTAGTGGCATAGAGACGTCAACACCTCAGTGTCTGCACCTGCCCAGGGAGGCTGGCCTTACTTGCACAGGTGCTGACATGCAAAGGGCATCCCCTCTGTGCTGAGCCTGGTGGAGTCAGGGGGAGGAAAAGCAGTGACTGTCCCCTCTCCTGGCTTGCTGATACTAGATCCCCAGCCCTTTACGCTGACTGCTGCCCTGTCCTGGGAATCTTTGCCTGTCTTGGTCTGGGTGTCCCAGTTGGAGGGTTTCCTGGGTTCTGAGTGCATTTCTCTGATGTGCCC